GTCCTGGGTTTTGTGTTTTCTCCAAGTGATGAAGAGGAGAGAGAATATTTCAATTCATTTCTAACAATCACATTATGTGGGAGTGGGATAAACTATAAAGAATGATCAATTGTTAAAGGCCTATTTATTAATAAATAGTTATTAATAGATAGTTAGATAATATTTAAGTTCTCATGCTATTTATTTAGTTCCAAAATGCCTAATCCTATTTTTATCTTTATTTTTTTTTAAGGTAATTTTTTTTTAATGATTTAGTAAAAAATCTATTTTTTAATATAAAAATATATTTAATATCTTAAAAATAATTAAAATAATATAAAAAATACGAAACGCATTATGACGCTTATTCTTCGCATTGACACGTCTAAACTTGTGATTCTTTATTCTCGACCTCGACGCCTCGCAACGCATTACGCATTTTAGAACATTGCTCCAAACATCACCACCCATCACTATCACTATCGTTATCACAACTAACTACCTCCATCACTGTCTGTCTCCCAAAGACCACCTCAACCGTTAGACACCTATTTCCACCACCACCACCACCACCTTTCTCCATCTCTCCACTTTATCCATGAAGAGAGAAAAGAGAGGGATAGAAATGCAATGGATCCGATTGTGGTAGGATTCGGTAGAAGTGGTGGTGGGTCCCATTTTGTCTTCTATTTTTGTACCGTGAGTTTGTATCTACTGTGAATTGTACTTTAGTATGAATGTGTTTTTGTGGGTTATAAAAAAGTCAATATTTTGTAAATATAAAAGAATGTACAATAACATTAGAATTTTAAAATAAAACACGGTGTATGGTGTAATTATTCCAAAATTAAATTAAAGAGCATGTAATCCTAAACACTTACAAAATAACGAGCAATTGAGTATGTTTAGGGTCCATTTGACATAACTTTTGAAAAGTGAAAAGAAGTTTTTGAGATTCAAAAGTTGTTTTGGATATGTTTGCTTAATTTGATAAAAGTGCTTCTTTTAATTAGAGGAGTTTTTAAAGGAAGTTAGTCGAATATGACTTCATGTAAAAGTACTTTCAGAATAAAAAACTCCTTTAAAAATTAGTTTTTAAATAAAAATAAGTTAGATTCCTCAAAAAGATCTTGTACAGAAAGTAAAACCAAAAGTCATGTCAAACGGGCCCTTAGTTAAGATGATTTTTTTATATCTTAGTTCAATTTATTAGGTAGACTATAAAACTCTTATTTGGTTTTGTTAAATAGATTTTAATAAAATTTGATGAAACGTGTGATTGAAAGTGTATAAAAAATGTGAATTCCATAAAATGTTAAAAACTGATTGTCTCAATTTAAAATAAAATTCTTTAATTCTCATATTTATTTTGAACCACACATTTACATAATAAAATATTTTGCAAGTAAATTCAAATTTTTTTTTACTTTTTTAATCACACATTCCCCAAAAATTACTATTCAAAATATTTTTTTTAAAAAAAGGGCCATCGAGCAAACATGGACTAAACTCTAAATATTAGTACAAAACCTCATCACCACATTGTCTCCCTCTCTTTGTTGTGAAGGGTTATGCTACATGTACCAGGCACTCCCCCCAATAGGGGGGAGCCACATGTATATTATGGACACCATTATGTGTACCCATAATGTACATGTAGCATTATTCGTGAAGGGTTATCTAATAGAAAGGGGTAGTGGGCCTCAAATCGACCACTGGCGGTATCTATTTTTGCCATAACATGGGCCCATAAGGCCCGACATTTTGAGTTCTGCTCCTGACTTGGACCTTGTTTGGTAAACGGTTCCGTTTGGTACATATTTTTAATTTTTTTTTAAAATTCATTTTAGACCATACTTGATTATATTCTTTCAATAAAATAGTTTTGCACGTAAATTTTTAACTTTTTCCTACTTTTTAATCAGATATTCCTAAAAAAAAAAAAATCACCTTTTACAAAATCTGTTTTCAAAGAATATATATCAAACAAGCAGCCATAAATTTGTACATGACGACTTTTAGAGGGGGACATTTTTTATTTAGTAGCGATGTAATGTATACTTGGGGAATTTATATATTTAAATGATGTATTTTTTGTGACTTGATCAAGCGATCATATTAAAGATCGACCTTATATAAAAAATTTTAGAAATAATTAATAGAAGGTAGGTGTATATATAATTTTTTAATAAATAAGTGACATTGAGAATGTGAAACTTAAAATCTAAACTTTTATAGGTCATTATGTTGATTTTGTTTTTCCTAAAAAATTAATATGTTGAAAGAAAATATTTATTTATTTATATTCACGACTCCAACAATAATCACAAAGGCTAAAGAGTGAATAAACACAAGCCCATTGTTGTGTTTAGAAGCCCAGACCATATAAAAGTTCGGCCCAATTACCTCCAGCAACTATACTCTCTTCAATATTTCTTCGGTTCACCCACCGGTCAAAAGAACAAGTCCAAATTCGTACCTGTCAAGAACCTACGAACATTTCAATCGTTCCCTTGATTTCTCTGCATCGGCAGCTGTACTTGAAGATTTTCGAAATTCTGAATAATGGAAGCATTCTCGGCTGTATCTTTCAGTCGACCTAGTTTCTTCAATAATGTAAGTAATTTTTTTACTTTTCGTTATGCGGTAAGTTTTAACTTTTCTTTTGTTAAATTTGGATTTGATAATTAATGAACTTCGTAGTTGAAGGAAATTATGAATATTCAGGAGTATTTTTGGAGAATAAAGTGAAATTAAATGTTTGGGCCAGCCCTGTAAATGTGTTTGTTTAGTTCATGTAGAATCAAGGATAGTTGAATCTTTTTTTTTTTAATAATTCTTCTTTTTGATCTTTTGGGTTTGTTTCAGGGGATGGAAATTCAATTAGGTTTAAAATTGCAATCTGAAATGGATAAATAATCCAACTTTGAGTCCCTTTTCATGTTCATTATCATGGACTGTGATGGAAAAAGAATATATACTAGCAGCGTATTTAAAAATAATGAATACTAAAAAATGAAGGTGACGTGAGGAATTATGCGCTTGATAAAAATTGAAAAATGAAGGTGACACGAGGAATTATATGCTTGGCATATTTTCAGAGTTTATTTCGTAATTCAAATTACTTGACTTGAATCTTATTTTTGTAGGTAATGATTGACACCAGCGAATGTAGAATTTTAAATAGTACCTGCGTTGATCACACTAGGATGCTGCAATATCTTTATTCACATCCCCACAAGCGAAGCAAATTAGTTTTGTGCAAATTAGTTTTGTCGAGCAGTTTTGGAGTGGGATCTTGTTTATCTGGTTGCCACGGTCATAATTCATGGCATACAACTCTGAGTAAGTTCCTTCCGGGTTTCCCATCAAAAAGATTTAATACGCTCAATATTATTGATTTTGAACTAACTCTTTACGCAGAGTATTAATCCTTTGCTGAAATGTAAAGAGAAACATAGAATCTGGTATTCCATACTGATCTTCTTTAATTGGTCGAAGCACCAGAATGAAGTTCCAAACTTTTAGCATTTCTTTCTCTTACCATCAGTTTGTGATGAGTTGGTTAAGACAATGTAAATGCAGTAAAAATCTACAACTGCCTTTTTCTTTTCTACTGGAATAAGCATTTAACCTAATGAATAGAGGACTTGGGCCATTCCATCTAGATGTTGGAGTTTTGGATTGTGCTCTATGTTGCAAACAAACAAGATATCTGAATTGATTAGGAGAATTAATACATGAAGAGTTTAATATAAGGTGAAATCATAATACAATGGGTAAAATCAATAATGGTGAATTTGTGATGAAATATGAGTCAAATTCACCTTGAACTCTTTCAAGACATCTTCAAGTCTACTACCAACTCCTAATACTCCCCCAACAGTATTTCCAATCAAATACTCAACAAGAATTCGGGTCACAATCCAATTCTAACACTATATGTTTCTGGAGTTTCATAGGTCGATTACATCTACTTTTTTTTTGGACACTTCCAAGTCCTTCTCAAGGAGGAAAAATAAAGATACAATATATATATTTTTAAATGCTTCGAGATTTTTTATGGCTAATTGTTTCTTATGTGAGTTATTTAATGCTATACGTAATGCTTAGATGTAAACAAGTCAGCAGTCTAAACATGCAATACCATATGAGAAATTTACATTTGTTTTCCGAAGCCTTTAACTTGATCTCCAACTGTGGTCTTCCCTCTGAGTTATGGAAATAGCACAATTTCCATGATAACAGCTCTAGTATATAGGCATAAAGTTGTAGAAAAAGGAGTGTGTCAAAAATAGGGGCACTTGCACCAACCCTACCTGTCCCCTAGCTAGTTGGATCATCATTATCTCCAGCTTGACTCTCAGATCCAATCTTATGGTCCAACAAACTTCTTTCCCACTATAATTTCATTTTTTGTTTGCCCCACCCTCCCCTCTCTCAGTCAACGTTCAGCAAAAACAACCACTATTATTAAACCTCACTTTTAACTTGGAATCAACTACATGATTTTTTTTTCTTCATTCTTTTCGATTTATTGATGAGTTTTCTAAAAGATATTAGATATGAATTCTGAAAGATATTAAATATGAAATCTTTCTTGCCCATCTCTGTTTTTGTAATTTTGGTCTTTCACTTTGTACTATCCTGCTCAGATAGGAATTATGCTGCCTTTGTGACGAGCTTTTTTAGGCCGAAGCAAAGTATGTCTCAACTATTTTTTAGGAATTAGGATGTTATTTTCCTAATTTTAGCTCAATAGGTGCTACCTCCACTTGTTGGAGCTTATCTGTCTGTATTTAAAAAAGATATTATTGTATAAGTTTAATTAACATTTTGTATCTAGACATGTTTGGGTAACACGCTTTTTTCTTACTTATTAAGAAAAGTTAACCTTTTGAACGTAGCTCTTAACTTATTGGAAAAACAAGTAACTTATTTTAACCTTTCAACAACAGAGTATTTAGAATAAATTTTTTTATAAGTAAACTTTTTAAGATTAGACAAACATAGTGTAACTTTTTCAATTTATCCATTCTAGCGTGCTTGCACATCCATGTTAGCATCACCATTTTTGCTATATTCATCTTCTAGATATTTTGTTCTCTCAACATTCTTTCCAATAACATGGCAGATTTGAAATCCATTTCCTAGAATTTCTCTTCTAACTTGGTATCTTTCATTCATCTATGATCCTTATAGTGCTTCTCCCTTCATTTGGATTATTAACCTATATCATAACTTAACTCCTTTATTTGGCCTTAGCGCCAACTTTAAAAAAGATAAGCATAGTTTTTGTCTCCATCCAAACGCGGCTGATTATTTGTTGAGTTTTACTCAAATCATATATGTTTTTCCGTTCTGCTGGTCTTGATGCATTCACTTCTTTGCAACTTTAGATATTCTTTGGAAAGATGTCTTTTTATCTAAAGCTATATCTATGCCCAGCGATCTAGTTTTAGTTTTCTTTTAAGCTATAAGATGGACTAGTTTTTTATTTGTTCAGAACAGCACCTTTCAGGCATCCTTCCCAATTATGTTCATTGAGATCATGTCGAGTGAAAGCTGACAACTCTGATGGGACTTTGAGTGGCGAACGTGTCATACTGACTGAGCAGACATTGGAGCGAGAACTGCAGATTGCTATTGAAGAAGAAAACTATGCCCGAGCAGCAAAAATCAGGGATAGTCTTAAAACTCTCCAAGAGGATAGCAAGGCTTCAGTATTAGGAGCGAATGCCAGGTTTTATAATTCGTTCAGAAATGGGGATTTGGCTGCTATGCAAGCTCTCTGGTCTAAGGATGAGCATGTGTGTGTTGTGCATCCTGGTGTCAGTGGCATATCTGGTAATGACCTTGTGATGGGGAGTTGGGAAATTGTATGGGCGGACTATGATTTCCCACTAGATATTGAGATTAAAGACGTTCAAGTTCATGTAAGAGGTGATGCAGGGTATGTCACGTGCATTGAAATGGTTAAGAAAAAGGATAATAACTGGAGAAGACACTTCGCCACAAATGTTTTTGAGAGGATTGATGGTCAGTGGTTCATGTGTATTCACCATGCATCGTATATTGACCTGTGAACTAAAATATAAGGTACGAACATCTTTTCTCGCTTCTCCTTAAAGAATGTGGTACTGTACTAGGTGAGTAAATTTTTGCATTTGGTTGCTCCAGAGATGTATTTTGTTAGATCTTACATGGTTATGGATTTCTAGGGATAAATGGTTCGCTATATTAAATGTCATTGGAACCAAATTGCTTACTCAGCGTGTAGGGACTATAAGTTTTAATGACATGCTCGTTGTGTAAGTTTTTTACTTGAACTATTTCTGTGTCTTTCACCTATGCATTTTCTTTTACTGAATTAGATTCCAGAAACATGTGAATTGTGATCTTAATAATGTACCTAAATTTTGGGGTACAAAAATTTAGTATTCATTGTGGAGACCTGATTAGGACATACAGGATTTCTCTCATTAAGAATTTTGTTGAAATTTCAGGTCTATTTGATGATTATCCAAATAGGGTTAGGAATTGCAAGGCCAAAGGATATGATTTCATATTTAATGAAAAGATTACTTCATAACAAAGGATCAATGACCAGACCAAAGGATTAGATTCCATATTTAATGAAAAAATTAGTTCATAATAAAGGATTAATGACCGCTGAAGATTAGTTTTAATAATCTCATACTATACTCGTTAAGTTGACTAATCACAACTAAACAATTGAAAGGATGGATTCCACTCTCTACGTCTTCATTTAGGTAATTCATTCAATAAAAATGTTTTTTTTTTTCGAGTAACCGAAATAATTGAACAAAAAATCAATAATTAATATCAGAATTCATACAAATAATTGAACAAAAAATCAAATAATTAATATCGGAATTCATACAAATAATATGAAATGACCAATCATCCACTTTGATAAGACTCGAAACCACTTCAAGATTTTTGTTCATCAAGAAAAATAGATTGGGGACTAAGGTACAAACCAATGAAGAAAAGTGGTTTTGGCAAAATGTGTGTGAATTTAGGTCAGCATTCCCAGAAGTGAAGTAACCTTAAAATTTAAGGTCCGTTTGATTGCAAAAATGAAATTTTGGTGGAAAAAAAAATGAATTACAGGGAATTGAGTTGACTAGAACTTATTTTACTGGAAATTGTCAATTAATTGTGTTTGATGAGTATAATTTTTCACCGGAAAGATATTTTGGTATTCGTTTGTCTTTGTTTTCTATGGAAATTGTCCATTAAAGAGATATAATTTGTTACAATTGAGGATATAATTTGTTTTCATTACCAAAAAAATCAAAATAAAAAAAATAAATAAATAAAAAAGTTGCCCGGTGGGAAAGGTTTTCCTCAAAAATGAAGAAAATGTGAACATATGGGTGAAAGATACAAAACCAATTTCATAGAAAATTTGGGCGATCAAACGGAATCCAAGTTTTCCTTATACAAATATATGTCTTAATCTCAATGGTATAGTATAATGCTACAAATCAAATGTACGTACGTTGGTTCCAACATCGTGAGAATTCGTGCGTGCATTAACGCTAAAAGAAAAAACAAATGCATCGAAACTAAAATCATGACCGCTCTCAAATTCTTTAATTGAAGGTGAAAATATCTAAAAGAGAAGATGGGCGGCACGTAGAACACAAATAGAAATGTGCAAAAGAAAAAAAATGAAAAGACACATTCAAAGGCATAGCATTTGCATTCCAAGAACAAGTCAAACATTGATACAACATGAAGAACACATAGCCCACACCTACTCCATGACAATCACTCCTTGGGAATCTGAATTTTTCAATCTTGGTGAATGTCTTCAAAGTAATTAATGATAACGATAGATAATATTATTCTTTCAAGATTATCGACATAGTTATTTTAGTAGTTCGAAAAAATTTGATCAAGTAATACTATTTCATAAAAACGTTTTGTCACTAGATCTCAGCCAACGTGTTCCATAGTGACACGTCCATAGTGAGATGAAACATTTTTAATGATCCAGATAAGTGAACTCATCAGCAATTATGAACAATTAATAAAAGTCAAAAGAAGCTGATAATTTGTATTTTTGTAACAATATTATTATCGTACTATGGGTATAACGTGTATTTACAATAATCAAGCGTGTTCGAACTCTCGATTAAATACAAGAGAAAGTTGTTACTTTCTAGGGTACTTTTGTAAGCGTGTCATGATTTCACTATCGTCTTACAAACCTAGCAACCTTTTGTGGTGTCCATGGTAACACCACAATAATGAAAGGAACGTTACGAAATTCCCATACACAAAGCGTGAGATGGCCGAAAAATCAAAGAGTGGCTTTAATGGGAAAATGTCCTACAAAGAAATAATAAATGAATGCATATGGAGAAGATGATTCTTGTCCAAGTCTTGACACCTCATCCAAACCAATCTTCCCAATTCTTCATCTTCAAGCAATTTAACAATTGAATACTCCTCCCCTTTATAAAAGGATTATCTTCAATTTGAAAATTTAAATTAAATGAGAATTCATTATCGCAAGTGACATTTACACATCGAAAGTTGTCCACATCCCATCTCAAAACATCTTGTTTACTAATTCTCGATCTCTCTCTTTCAATGACCAAGTTATCTAACCTGAAATAAAAGTTTGGAGTAATGCTATTCATCCACACTGATGCTGAAAACATTAATGTGACATTAAATGATAGGTGAAATTAAATAAATTATTTAATTCAAAAGTTTGAGATGCTTAACATCTCGATTCACCCGTCCTTGTCTTAACGGTTAAACTATTCTATAACTGTTTGGTGATTAGTCTAACCTGCACTACTCCAAGAAAGATCGAATAAAACTTAGAGGGTGTTTGGTAAAAATTAAAATCGAAAAACTAGTCGTTATTGTTGACTTTTATTAGATGAGTGAGATCCAATAACGACTATATTTTCAACTTTAATTGGATTTTGAGCCGTACCAAACAGACCCTTACAGTATAGATAACATTAATTGCCAGCAAATGAATTCAACGTTATTCGTACACCAAAAATGTGTGAACTATTTATTACATTGTATGAATATTTATTTATTGACACGAGAATCTAATGTGTTCATTAATCTCATTCCTCTCCCAGCCAGGGATGGATTCCAACACTACAAACAAACAGGGCTGCTGCAGTTTCTGCTCCCGGCGTTAAACCAGAACAAGAACATAAAAAAACCCTTATTTTATTATCATTCAAATGCACAGCATTCAAAAGGGAACAAGAAAAGGAACTGCCATTAACCACTTTCTTGAACCTCGAACCAAACAAAAAGCTGAGTTGTTGCATCAACAGACTCGCATTTATTTAACCTAATACTAAACCCAAAAAACCATTTTCTTGCACTAACGATCTTCTTTAATCATCTTCTTCTTCTACTTAATTAATACTTTCCTATACTACTGCTGCTAATACCATGTCCCACAAACTAAACTATCTCCTAATCTTCAACTTCATAACTGATTCTATAGAGATTTCAACGAAACAGCTTCATTAGAGAAAAACCCATTTGTAATTTTGGTCAGTAAGTCCACTCCTGAGGGAGCCTGAGGTGGTCTTGATTGGTCACTGGGACAGATCTTTGATTTTTTCTCTGCTGTGCCATTACAACATTATTTCTGTACTTCACAGCAGCAGCTGCATATAGAATCAAGAAATTAACTTAGCATACAAGCTTAAGAAATTCGAACAGTATAAAGGAATGAGAAATAGTACGAAATAATTACCATAGTCAGGAGTAAAATTTCCATTTGCTCTGTTTGGTGGCTGCGGATCCATGGATTCCAAGTTCAAATTTAAAGCCTGGACCACTCTGTCTGGTAGCAGAACTGTAGAACACCCTGCATTTTGCCAAAAATAGACACCATACATTATCAGAAGAAATTATTAAAAAGGGAAGTCCATCAAATACTTCTGAAAAATCCAAATATTTGAACTAGACAAAACAGAGATTACCAGGTTTAACTAAACAGGAGTGAACTATCGACTATGTATATGAACCATAGAGCCCATAAAACTCAAACAACCCATGTGACCAGCAGCAAAATGTTGAATAATGCTTAATAATTATCCTATCCAAAACTCACCAGCTGCATGAACCTAATTAAATTGAACTATTCTTGCACATGAACACACACTGCACTTTTAAAAAAAAGAAAAAAAAAATTTACCTGGTTTCTTTCGCGTTTCGGTGGGGGCTCCAACTCTTCTGGGCAAGAAAACACCGGTTCCAGTACGTTCTTTTTTAGTCCCGGGATCTCCAAGAAACAATGCTCTCATGCCTGAACCAGGCTGCTGTTGTTTTTGAGATTGTTGTACAGTAGACAAAGCATCTATTGACAACTCATTAGGCCTACCACCATTCTGAACCATTTGAGGGTACCCGCATTTCATTTGTCCATGTTGAGGTTGCTTTATCATCTGTTGTTCCTTCAACTGCAGGAACTGTCAATTTAAAAAAGAAAAAAAAAAAGCTCAGTATATTCGCAAAACGGTTCCAACAGAAAAGATAGTAAATATTATGAATCTTCTTTGAAATTGCCAAGACTTACTTGAGTGACTTGTATATGTTGAGATGAAAGGTGGGTATAGTTAGGGTAAAAATCAGAACAGCGATTTGGGTTTTTGGATGGTACTGTAGCAGCACCGTGTATTCTGTGCGGAACTAAAAGTCCATCAACACCGACTCTGTAGTTGGTGGAATGAAACCCATTTATTTCTTCCATCGTCTTCATCCGGGCAACCTCTTCAGCAGCCGCAGACAATAAATCCAACGACGTCGGATTTTCCCGGTAGGCATCTGGCGGGGATGGAACCTTCGACAAGCAGTTGGGGCTCCGAAGGCCGGAACCCGGGTTGCACCCACAACGTCCCATAACACTGCATAGAGTTGATTGTGGAGAACCAGAAACCCACCATCCCTGTTCAAAAATTAAACCCATAATTAAAGTACTCTTCGTGCGACAACTGATAATAAAGAAAAAGAATAGAAAGTAAATGTATACTTTTTTGTTTTCAACCGAGTATCTGGAGTCTTGAATAGTAGATTGAGCTATCTTGCGAGTTAACTCAGTCATGTAGTCATCTTCGTCGCTCTCTGTTTCCGTAGATCCCATCACCGACTCAACTGGTGAACTCAGATCCGAGAAAGGACCAAATGAGTTTCCAAACGCGAATGAAAAGTCATCGGTTTTCTTAGTCTGATGAATTTTATTCTGGCCGTCAATCAGTAAATCGTCGGTTAAAAACTGAGGCGGCAACCAGAACTTCCCCTCATCCAACTCTGCCGCCATCTCGCCAATAGAAACACAATTTAATTCAACAACAAACTCTGTGAATATACTTAAAGGGTTCAACTGACCAACAACGCCGAGGCAAAAATATCAAAAGACGGAATGAAAAATCTGGGAGAACTAAAATTTAAAGTTGGGTTTTGAAAGGGCTGCTGCGTTTAATTATAGACACCACGAACCCAAGCGGTGCTCGCTGTGTGGGTCCCAGGAAATACGAAGAGAGCCGCGAAAAACACAGAGGATTGAGTGAGAAAAGTAGCGGGAGGCAGGCAGTGTTTTTATAAACAGAGTGAGTGGGGAAGGTGGAACCCTTTTTTTAGGATTAAAAACCAAGCGCGAAAGTGGAGCGTACTCCCACGCGCCGCTTCATAGAATTGGAAAACAGTTGTAGCCAGGTATGATTGTGGGGTCTGTATCTGACACAATTCAGGCGGTTATCATGTGAGTTGTGGTGGGGCCCAGTAATTGTGTATTATTTTTTAATTAATCGAAAAGGTCAGTGCTGTAGTGACAACGTGTTGGCCTGTTTCTAATTGGTTAATTAATGGTGGCAGACATTTGTCCTCATCCACCGCACGCGGTAGTTTATGCTTTGCATGTAAGCAATTAGAGGGAGGTTTTAGGGTTTTAAATATTCCACCGAATTGACATTTCTGCCATTGAATTCCTTACATATTGACGAAATTACCCTTATTTAATTGGGGTCTAGCTCATGGCCCAGGAGGGTCAGAATCATGGTCAGGGAAGGCTGTGAAAAAATCTGGTTGCAGAAGATATTTTTTTTCGACAAGAGTGACATGGAAATGCCAATCCTACTGTTCTGTTCTAACGCGATAAAGTTTGTCTGTTGACAGTTTATTCTGTAGTTTGCACAATCTGGCTGCAATAAACTACCCACATTATCTTCATTGTAATTTTGAATTATTTTTAACTGTGACAAAAGATGATTATCAAAATTTATTTGTTTTTTCAATCCACAACACCACAAAGGGGTACACCAAAGGTTGGAGATAACAGTAGAATCTCAGAGGCACACTAAGACCGAAGAAGATTGCACACAAAGACAGAGACGGTTTCACAAAGGGACCAAATTTCTAAGGTCTTCAAGTCACAGAGAAGGGAAGGCTTCTATTATGTTTTTAGATGCACTAAGCAAAGGAAATTTTGGTGTGTTCAAAACCGAGGCCAGAGAGTCCGATTTATAGACAGGAAGGAAAAATGAATTTCCAAAAGTTTCTCATAAAGATAGAATCCTCAAGATATGAAATTAGTTATCAATGATAGAGATACAGAGGATAGAGGATACCAAGTGCATCCAATTTGTTCTTAAACGTTATCTTCCAAAAAACGGGTATTGAGCACCCATCCCTTATGTGTTGATTTCCTCAAAACACCCAACACAATTGGGTTCCAACTCTTTGTGGTGTGGATTAAATGATATTCTTCAATCCTAGGCTTATAGCCTATGAAGTTAACGGGTTACGAATTTTTATCATCACCTAGGGGTTATTCACATCACTAAAATACCCAACAGTAAGTAATTCAACATAAATTAGAAGGTTGTATGTGATTTCCGTATTTTCATACTTTCATGGGCGTCACTCTATCTTATCTTTTCCCCTTCAAGCAGCCTACATTTGCAAATGTTGGACGTTGTTCTCATCAAAGTTGTAATCTGGCTGGGATTTAATATAGGGATAAGTTGGAAAATACGAATGAAGTCTTATGTTGATTGGACATAGAGTAGATTATAAGTTTATTAAAAAAATTGATTACTCCACTTAATTAGCTTCCTTTTGAAAATGAAAATTGATTTCAATAAGTGGTAACAAAGTTATGACACGGAGAGATTTTGTCTTGAGTTTAGTATTGATGGTCAAAGACGATTGTGTCTACATAAGGAAGTTCTCATCAGTGTAGAAGAAGAATCTAGCCTTCGTCATTCTTGATAAAGCATCAGTGAACTTCTATGAAATGATTTTATGAGATTAGGTCGATTGCTCGATTGTGAAATATCAATGAGAAATATGCATGTTGAATAGTAATCTCCATGGTAGTATGTGTAGATTTTGAAAGGTTGTATAGGATTGAGTCCTTCTGAACGGAGGAGGCTGACCTGATGATCAAGGGCTTGCACAACAAGAAAGATGGACATCCTAGGCTCGAGGTGGGATTCAAGTGAAGTGACACTACGTTCGAGAAAGCTTGAAGAAGGTTCTATATTTGCTAGACATGTGATATATCGTATATTTATACGATGAAGCTACTCAACTTAACATTTTAAGTTAAAAATCTGATTTTCAATATTAAATTTTATCAAATCAGCTTATGATTAGGCCTTAATAATGTGGTTTGTTTCCAAAAATGAATAAAGAATCTGAATGTTTTTATTCCTTGAAGAAGTGGAGACAGTGGGGAACTGCATATTCGGCTGGTCAAACTTTTCTTTCAGTCTAAATTAACAGCTCTTCGTCATTTTCCACTCCCTTCCATTACGGCCAGTCGTTTTATTGCCGGTGTTAAGCGGATATTGCTTCCCACCCGTTTTTCTCACACGGAAATCAACTTTCTCCGTTCACATTTTAATTCCACGAAGTTTGATAATATATATTGGTCGTTACGTTTTTGTTCTCAATGTTTTTATCGTACTCTTAATAATTTCAGATTAACATAAATTGTCCTTAATGATGGTTTCTATTCAAAAAATTTATTAAAAAAGAATAAAAAAATTCCTTTCACTCGTCTAGTGACAATATTGATGTTAGTGACAATGTCGATCGTGACCATGGACGGACGCAAGAGGTGGCCGGGGGGGCACGTGACCACCCAACTTTGCTCGCCCCTGCTTTTTTTCACCATTAAATTTTCTATACTTTTTGTTTCAATTTTTGATATTATCATGGGATGTGAAACGAATTCGAAATATTGTATTCTTAATACTATTTTGAAGTGTTCACGATCTAATTTTCTATATCGTTAATGGTGTAAGAAACGGTCAATCATAGCAAATGTTACGACTTGTCAAAGTAGGCCATTCAAAATTATTATTTTGAAAATTTCGATAACATGCTAACTTTAAAAATTCTCCGGCGATCTTACGCTATTCGAATATACAAATTGCTTATGTTAACTCAAAACTTATTTCGAAAAATACATTATAGACATATCGAATAGTTCAAATAGATATCGAAAATAATTAAAGATGCGTTAAACGTGAGTCATAAAGAAAGACGTCTAATTCCTATTTTCTTTAAAAAACTTCAATTATTGCATTAACATTTAGCGCCTGTTTGCTCCAGATTTTTTCTCCATTTTCAGCAGAATTCTAGCCATTGGAGCACACAAATAACAATGGAACATGTGAGATGGTGGGTCCCATTCAACGGCTACAATTCTGCTAAAAATCTGGAGCAAACAGGCTGTTATTATTTTTGCGATACAAATTTCTCAATATATTTTTTATCGTCTTATTAGGAAATTTTATATAAATTATGATATCAAAAAATTTCGAAATTTTACATCCGAAAAAGTTATATCCCATGAAAATCTTAGGATGCAAAATTACATGGGGTATGATTTTTTTGGACGTAAATTTTCGATTGTAAAATTTATCTCAACTTCTTCGCAAGTTCGATTATGCCCCCTAATTTATTGTAAAATTTCTCCCAACTTATTTATTAGTTCGATTATGCCCCCTAATTTTAAACTTCTGCGTCTGCCCCTGATCGTGACCGTGATATGAAGCAGAAATTTTTAACTATGATGACTACAATGTCGAAAATAGACAAATATTATATCACTTTTCAATTTCGAATTAGCGAAATCAATGTTTCCTTGTATAATATGGGATGCCAAAGATTCATGAAATGAATGTGAATAAAACGAATTACTTGTAATAAAAAAAATAAAATTATGTAGGGTGGGGAGTGTCCAAGTTAGTCAACACGAGTTGTGATGCCGGACCTTTTTTGTCTATATTCCTATTCGAGTGGAAATATTCTTTCAAGAAAAAAGCAAAAAAGAAAATAAAACTTTATCTGTTCCCGTGGGGCACGGTGTAAAGCACCGAGTTTTCTAAACCCCAATTGGGTCTTTGCTTCAAAATTCCGTAATAATTTTTGGCGCCGAAAGAGAGTTGTAATTATCCTATACAAACGTCATTTTCACATTTCTCGTACACCTCTTTCTTTGTTATCCAAAATCTCACCAGGTTGATTTTTTGATTTGGATTCCACGGCCATGGATTCACTATAACTTGCAACTACCAATTCGGCGGACCCACCTGATACCTTCTATCTTATGCCGCCAAAATGGAAAATTTAAAAAAAAAAGAGAAAATTGCCCCATTGGTCGACATTTTATTGCTTTAGTTGCGATCTTTAACGTTTAATAATGAGAAGTAGATTTTTGACTCAAGCGATCTCCAAAAATCTCTTTAAAGATGAGAAGTTCTTAGTGGGTGTTTGATGGAGATTAAAATTATATTTTTAGTAGATTGTGATAGAAATTTTTGAAATGTGTGGTTAAAAAGTCGTGGGACCCATAAAAGACGTGGTTAATATTGATTGTTTGACTTTGACTTAGATTAAACTCTGATTTTAATCAGAAACAAACGGGGTTAGATCCAAATAAGACGAATATTGTTCAAATTTCTACTAAATCAAGCTCTTGTTTGGTTTAGATTTTAATCAATCTTTTTAGTTATATCAAATAATGGCCAAATTTTATGAAATAATTTTACTTTTCGATGAGTCGGTGCTAGAAAAATTGAAGTGAAAAATGCTTTTAGGACTATTAGAGTAAAAAAGTTAGGCGGTTATGTTATTAGAAACTAATTGTGTAATTCATAACAAAATTTGAGGACCAATTTATTGATGATTCCATAGATTGAGCAGCACGTGTGTAATTTCCGCTTAAACGTAAGCTTGAAGTCTTCCGTGATTTTTTACATCTTCACTAATGCCCAATGATTGTGATAATTAGTTGGTGGTAGAAATTTC